CTTCAACACTAAATTTTTTTAAAATTTTCTTATGAACCTTAGTCGACAGTTTAATTGATCTAATGGCCAGTCATCTCAGGATTTTGCACCTTTCAAGCAATGCATGATGTAAGATTAATACATATTAATTGTTTAAGTTAATAAATGAAAAGTTACCACTCACAATAAAAATTGTACCTTTTTTAAATGATAATTTTTTTAAAAAAAAAAAAAAAAAACCAAGCCCACAAAAAATCAGTTGTAAGTCATAAGTCGACCATGCAAGATGCACGCCACAATTAATTTTTAAATTTTTATATTCTTCTTATGTTGACCCCGATTACAAGTCATGAAGAAGCAAACTTCCAATTGCACTTCTATGATAATGCCTATGTCTACTGACTAACAAGTCATGGACATTTCTGGGAAAGTGTTTATAAATCTGGTAAAATCAGAATTTTCTAAGTTCGGTCTATTTTTAGGTGGGCCCGAGTGTCGATTTACTCGGGTCAAAGTGGTAACGCGTTCTATGCCGCGTTGTGATTCACGTGGTATATTTGGTTGCTCAAAAACCATTTACGAGTGAATGGGAAATTGAAGCCAAAGTGTGCTCCATGGAAATGGAGTTTTGGTGGGAATTCCTTAAGGTTGTAAATTGGCTTGTCCACATTGATTTGGTGGGAAGTTTTGAAAGGGTTTATAAGGCTTAGGGTGAGATAAATTGGGGTGTGCCCCAAGGGTACCCAAGTGTTTTAGAGGGGAGAGGTTATGGGCAAAATGGGATAGACCCATTGGACCCAAAAATCACCACACGCGCGCGCGCCGCCGCCGTCCGGTTGGGCTTCTAATCTTTGTGGCCAAAAACATTTGAATTTAATTTATTTTTTATTAAAATAAAATCCAGAATTCAAATTAAACTGGTTGGATTTTTTGTTCATCCAAACAGGGCCCTTCCCGTTTTCAAACAGAATTAAACGGATTTGGATTTATTGCTCATCCAAACAGAGCCCTTCCCTTTTCAAACAGAATTACCTGATATTGGATTTATGCTCATCCAAACAGAGCCCTTCCCGTTTTGCTATCCTGTTTTTGAACCCCGTTTTACTATCTGTTTGAATTCAAAACCCAACAGGTATCATACCTGTTCAATTCAAAACCAAGAGCCACCTTCACATCTATAAATAGGACCACCCTCATTTGATGTTTTCCATTCAGAAATTTCGTATTTCACCTCTGCTAATTCTATTCTTCATCTTGCTGCATTTTATTTCCGAAAGAAAGAGTATAAACACTTCGTGTGTTCGTAAGGCAAACAATTAGTAGTGCTGCTATTGTTTGTGGTAGATCATTTCATCCTGGGAGATAGACGTCCAAATTCTGAAAGCACCGTGGAGAGGACGAATCTGTCTTAAGGACACAGTGTTAAACACTGGACTTGATCAGAAAAATAATTCGAAGAAATTAAATCAAGTAAGTTATTTAATTTACTTTCAGTGTTGTTTTTTATTTGTTTATTTATACAGATTTTAATTTTGTTTTTGTAACAAAATAAAATCTGTTTTATTTATTTATATATTTTATTTCTAGTTTGATTTTTGTAATCAAACATTTTCTCTCCTTTTCTTTATTTCTTTATATTCTGGTTGTTGTTTAGTACACAACATAATTTATTTAATTTAAATACAGTGAAGATTGCCTAACAATCAACTATGCAATTTGACTAACAAGTCATGGTAGCAAAAATTATTTGAAAAAAAAAAAATTAATTAAAAAAAAATTATTAGTTAAATTTTTAAATTTCTGTTTAAAAATTAACGTACATTTTTTTCTTAAATTTATAATCTGAGACAACCATTTATAAACCAAGAAAATTAGGGTAAACTACCAATACGTCCTAATAGTTTAACCCAATTCCCATCAAGTCCTATTGAAAATAAGTCTTGGTAAAATTATCGCTAAAAATAAATTTTTTGTGACAATTTTTTATATATGTCGCTAAAAATTGACAATTAGTGACTTTTTTTGTCATGATTTTTATAAATTGTCGCTAAAACTTATAATTACTAAAGTTTTTTTATGACAAATGTTTCTCATAGGACCTATTAGATAATAAGTCCACTTATTAGGTCCTGCACGCAAGTATCCCAAAAAATTATCAAACAAGTTTTTATAACAGTTTCTAAAATTTTTGTAAATATAAACTGAAAATTGAAAATGAAATGGTTACCAAACAAGTCCTAAAAGTCTGTGATTTCTCAACACAATGTTCCACCAATCTCACCAAGTTCAGATTGTTTGTGCTGCCTATTATCTTGACTTGTTTAGCTAAGAAAAAGACTTCTTGACATGGCCTAAGCCATCAAGATGCTTCACTGCAACTTTGATTTTGCCGTTGCTTTGAAGAGTTCCTTCAAAGACCAATGTCCATATCATCCTTGCCAAAGTTTCCTATTGAAATTATATCAGTCAGTGACTTTGAGCTCAATTCTATAAGAGAATCTCATGGGCATTCCCGGCACTTCTTGATCTAAATAATCCTCCTTGGTTTCATTAGTTCCTCTCTCTTACCTTGGAATGGAAAAGGGTAAATTATAAACACACCCCCTAAGATTTACTTAAATTACAAATTGCCTCTGTAGTTTTAGAAATTACATTACGGCCCCTAAGGTTTCTAATTTCATAATAAATAAGTCCTTTTATTAATAAATCATCAAGTTAATTAACAGTTTTTAATAATGTTAAAATTTTATTTCAATTAATAATTCATATAATTTTATTATTGTATAGGTGAATAGTTAGAAATTTCACTTTTTCAAATAATTCTGTTAAATAAAAAATTCCGACAGGGAAGTATTTGTAATTTTTCAAACCACAGGGGACAATTCGTATTTTAAGCAAATCTTAAGGGGTATATTTGTAATTTACCCAAAGGAAAACAAAGACGAAAATTATAATAAAGTGACCGGAAAAACGATCCAAGTCTAGATACCAGTTTGATTACAAATTGATTATTGACTGCACTTTATATTGACCTTCATTGAGATGATCTCTGTTAGTATATGTAGAGCATTTTCCACTTGAATTTTTATTGGAAACATCACTTGAACAATACAGAGCAGCTCTGTAGTAGCAACTACTTAAACAGGCTTGCTTGCAACTACTTCATATCTACGTATTAATAGCATTTGACATGTCAGCCTCAACAATGAGGCAAGTAACATTCTTTAGCTCTATGAGCTTGTGATGTTTTGAAGCTTTGAAGAACAAAGGAATAATTTCAGAACATTCAAGATTATGATGCTTATCATTTATTTATCTGTTTAAAATAGCTTACTTGTATTGCTATTAGCCACTTTCGAGTAACTGTGGTCCAAACTTGCCCCGCTATCGTACCATATCTACTGCAAACTAGTGGTGGTTTAAGGGGTAGGCGCTCCATTTAGGAGGGCCCTACTAATATATATATACATATACATAAAAGAACTTCTACTCAAAATAATTCTCTCAAAAAAAAAAAGTAGCCAAATATTTCTTAGTAAATAAATAAAAATGATTATATCTTAAATTATTAAACAAGAATAAACACTTCATGAGTTATCTTAGACTATCAGTCAAATCATAAAGAGAGAAAACAACCTCTCTTACTGGAGGACATTTACATTACACCTCTTCCATTATCTGGTCAAGTCAAAAAATGAATAAATAAAAGGCCTTTTTATCAAATTATTTTCATTGTAAAGGTTAGGGACACTAGAACAAATTTGGGATTTAAAGACGAAACAAATTTGTCCCAAAATATATATATTTCGTCACCAAAACTAATTACGACGAAAATTTTTCGTCACCCGTTTTGTCGCCAAAGCCTCGTCGCTAAAGGGTCGTAGAGACGAAAAAACAATTTCGTCATTGAAAATGATAAATTTGTGACGAATTTTTTTGTCTCCAATACGCTCTGTTGGGAACATACTTGTAAGTAATTAGCGACAAAATATTTTGTCATTAAAGGAAGAAATTAGAGACAAAAATATTTTGTCATAAATATAAGAAATAGAGACGAAATAATTTTGTCACGTTTAATATAAACGAAGACGAAATTTTTTTGTCAAAGAAGCTACCAATAGAGATAAAAACAAATTCATCATTAAAAATGATAAATTTGTGACCAATTTTTTTGTCTCTAATACACTCTGTTGGAAACATACTTGTAAGTAATTAGCGACAAAATATTTTGTCATTAAAGGAAGAAATTAGAGACAAAAATATTTTGTCATAAATATAAGAAATAGAGACGAAATAATTTTGTCACGTTTAATATAAACGAAGACGAAATTTTTTTGTCAAAGAAGCTACCAATAGAGATAAAAACAAATTCATCATTAAAAATGATAAATTTGTGACCAATTTTTTTGTCTCTAATACACTCTGTTGGAAACATACTTGTAAGTAATTAGCGACAAAATATTTTGTCATTAAAGGAAGAAATTAGAGACAAAAATATTTTGTCATAAATATAAGAAATAGAGACGAAATAATTTTGTCACGTTTAATATAAACGAAGACGAAATTTTTTTGTCAAAGAAGCTACCAATAGAGATAAAAACAAATTCATCATTAAAAATGATAAATTTGTGACCAATTTTTTTGTCTCTAATACACTCTGTTGGAAACATACTTGTAAGTAATTAGCGACAAAATATTTTGTCATTAAAGGAAGAAATTAGAGACAAAAATATTTTGTCATAAATATAAGAAATAGAGACGAAATAATTTTGTCACGTTTAATATAAACGAAGACGAAATTTTTTTGTCAAAGAAGCTACCAATAGAGATAAAAACAAAAAACCTTCTTTAGGGATGGAAAATTTTGTCAATAATTTCATAATATTTTTTTCCATATTATATACCCTATTTTATCAAAATCTAAATTTTAGTTCAACAAATATAACCCTGTTCATGTTGAAACCTGTTGAATATAACAATTCCATCACAACTTAACCTAACCTGTTATCAACACATTTACGAATTAACAAAATGAAAATATCCATTCATCATCACAAATAATTTCATCCTAATACAATAAAATAGTAAAATATCCACAAAATATCCAAAAGTTATAACTAGTTCAATTTTACCAAAAATCCAACAATAACTAGTGCAACTCCACAAAGTATGTGTATCCTTATCAAACAAAAATGAACATTCAAGCAAATTAGATCATTGTTGCACGTCAAAAATGCCATCCCAATCCAATCTGAAAAAAAATAAATTAAAAGCTTTAGTAATTAATTAATTATACAAAAGATTAAAAACATTAGTAACTCATCAATTCACAAATGGTGCATCCCATTAATGTGCCGTAAGTTCATATAGCTTATATTGGTCCATTTAATTCTTAAAGTGCAAGGATACGTACCAGTTTTTCTACTCTAACAGGGATTGACCTAGAACCACACCTGTGTTTTGTATACATCCTTTCTCTGTTCGCGATGTTACCCTTTGATTGCTCCTATAAGAAAGAATGACCAATATAATAATGAAATGTATCACTAGTAAGACAAATATGTTAGCTTTTGATTGTTCCTGTAAGGAAGAATGAACCAATATAACAATGAAATGTATCACTAGTAAAACAAATTTAATGCTTGATAATAAAGAATTGCATTGTTCATATCTATCCTTTTCCTATATATCATTTCAACTTAAAAGTTGTTTCAAATTATTCACTAGTTTCATTCAATTCTTTGAAATATAGATTAGAGGCCTTGTTGAGATTTCATTATAAGATGATTTTTCTGGGTGAAAAAAGAAAAACGAGTAATTTACACCGTTCACAATTAGGGGGCATATAAGCATGGGCAAGATAGATTGTGAAAAAATCCATTTACATTTCACAAGATATGGAACAATTACTGATACCAAACTCATATCCCTTTCTTTCTTCCACAACTATATCAAATCTAAAGTTCTGTCTTAATACCCTGTATTAGTTACTCAGCTAGTTGCTTACCATTATCATGAAACTTCAGACCAAACTCAAGAACAAACAGAAAATACAATCATAGAAACTGAAATCTTAGTTCTTTATTCTATGATGTGAAAGATGCATGCATTTTAAGGAATCATAAATTAATCTCCTATGATGTGAGCCTCCAATCCATGTTAATGTTTCCCTTTCTCATTTTGCCACTTATTTGGTTTTTATTATGTTTCACTTACATGCTTAGAGGATAAGGAAAAAAGAACACATGGAATTTCACAGCAAATTGATTGTGTTCTTTCTAGTTTTTTTGAAATCTCTCCCTATTCTAATCAAATTTTATCTAAGTTACAGAGCAAAAGAATATGAAAGTTGCTACAATTCCATCCAAATTAATAGCTCTCTGTTGATCTCTTACTCAATGCTTTCTGAGAAGCCTCATCACAAAATATACACAAAGTAAAATGACACTACTACAAAACATATAAAAATCACTTTTTTTGTGTAATGTATGTTATTTTAATCACACCTTTTTAGTTTTGTTAGAGTGGTGATCTTTGGGGTGTGAATTAAAAGGGGTCATTTTAATCACATATTTTAAGTGTGATTAATAACATTTAGATCACACCTTTTAAGTATGATTAAAATATTTAGATCACGTATTTTAAGTGTGATTATAAAATTTTTAGATCATAGCTTTTAAGTGTGATTAAAATATTTAGATTACACATTTTAAGTGTGATTAAAAATATTTAGATACACATTTTAAGTGTGATTAATAAC